TAATTCAAGAGTGGGAGGATCCCTTTTAGATGGCTTGACTTTCACAGTAGATAAAGCATCTACAGGTAAAAAAATTCCTTCCTCTTTGTGGCTACCCATTGCATTTTTCTCTAAGAATAGTTGTTGCCTCTAAAATGTTATTGCCTACACAATCAAGTTTCATATCTAAAGCCTTAACAATACAATTGCCAATAGGATCATCTAATCTAGAAGCATTAAAATTTTCAATCACTAAATTATCTACTACATCAATCCTTAAAACTACACTTCCATCATGACCAAAATTTTTCATAGCCTCAAATACATTAAAAACTATCTCCTCATCACGTATTCTAAGACTAAGTTTTCCTTGTTGAACATCAATAAAAGCTCTGATGCGCTAAAATCACCTAGCAAGTGTACTAGTCACTCCAAGTAATATAATGATAAGAAGAGTGTCGAACTCATGAGAATTGTGATTAACTAAGTACCAAAATAATTAATCTAAATTTATTTGAACAATCGAAAAGAAAGAACTTTTAATTAAAAATAATAAGAAGGAAATAATAATTAAAATAAAACTAATCAAGATACGAGATACCAAGGCGTTGATATCATCATAATCAATTAACATGGATTTTCGATTATTATATTTTCAAGATGTTACTATTCATGTGATAGCGAGATTTCCTATCATATTCGATATACTTTCTCAAGTTATACCAAACCTATCTTAATCTATCAACCAACTATATCTCTATGTAAATTTAAATAGATAAAGGTGCATTATATTCTGTGAAATTCCCTAGTTTACGTAGAAAATTAAGTCCACTTATCACTAATGCTGCACAAATCACATTGGTCCATCTCTAGCTTTCATTCAATTCATGGTATATATTACCAAAGTTATTGCATAAAATCTCCTCTCAGTCTCAATTATGCTCTCCAAATCAGTTTTAATAGTGATCAAGCATTAAAATGTATTAAGAACAATAATATATATTCACCATGGAATAGCAATCTCAAAAGTATAAAAATCATAAAAACCTATATTGAATTGATTAGGCTACATCGTAGCCCTAGTTGACTAAATCAGTTTATAATAAAAATAATAATAAAACTTGAAATTATAATTATGAACATTCGAGTATCAAACAATAGATGAAAGGAATCCAAGGAAAAATAAAACCAATTTAAGGAAATCAAACTCCTTGATCTTCTATTGTTAATGAAACTTCTATCTTGATCTCCAATAGTGCTCAAAAAAGGGTTGCCACCAACCTCCAAAACTCTCTAATTTTGAATTTGAATTTGAATAGGTATTTATAGGATTTTAGAAACCCTAATTAGAATAGGAGTAAAATTTGAAACATAATAGAAAATTTGAATTTTGGATGTTGAACACATGGTGCTGACACCCCAAATTACGTGTCGACACAGAACAAAAACAGAAACTCTAATTCTTGATGCTTAACGCATGGTGCTGGCACCCCAATTATGTGTCGACACCACACCCGTGGGAGGGGGTTTCTTACCTCTTTTCGCAATTTCTTCAATGATAAAATAGCAGATCTAGTCCTCCATCTTTTGTACGATAAGCACTTAGATCTCAAAACTCAAAATTCATTCATTTAGGGCTCAAAGAGGCGCCCTTCTTCTTGCAATTCAATCCCCCAACTTTTAAAAGATATTCAATTAATCCCAAAAACTCCTATTATTATGCATTCAAGTCTTTTTCTACACAAATAGTGAAAACCATGTAAAATCCCATAAAATTCATCCAAATACTAATAATATCAAGGCAGAAATTTCACATTAATATATGTAAAAATTCAGCTTATCAAGCTCTGCTAGTAGCAAGAAATGATCTTCCGAGAATTAAAGGCATTTCAAAATCTCCTCCTTACCAAGAACAATAAAGTCAATAGGAAAAATATATTTGTCAACCTTTACCAAAACTTCCCTTACCACTTCTTGTAGATATTTAATGCTCCTATCTGCCAATTGAAGAGAGATTGTGCTAGGTGAAGGTTCTCCCAAT